CGGTGTGTGATGATTTGCTATGATGTATGTGAAGTCCCTGCCCTCTCCAAAGAATGTATAAAACTGCTGCAAACCCTGGGCTCGGGGCCTCTCAGTGTCACCAGTTGCTGTGTGTGTGTGTGTGTGTGCATGGAGGACCGAGCTAGCTCGCAATAAACATCTCTTTGCTGCTTAAATCGATCTTGGGTCTCTGGTGGTCTTTGGGGGTCCCGAATTTGAGCATAACAATAAGTCTAATTTGAATCATACTAACTAATGTCAGTAACATCAAAGAATCTACTCCTATACAGCTCTGTCGTCCCTGCTTTTAGTTATTGAAATAACAAAATTAAATTTTTATACATTGTTTCCCAACTCATGAACTGATGATTGCTTTCATTGCAGTAGTACTTTAAATCATGTAGAAAACAAAAAAAAAAATGAAGTTAACAAAAGTTACAACAAAACTACCTTTTAAAATTGTCCATGATTTTACTATTACTAGAGATCTTTATATTTTAATGGCCTTGAATATTCTTTAATTTCAAACTGAAAAACCTCTTTTAGCATTTCTTGAAAAGTAGGTCTAATGATAACAAATGCCCTCAGGTTTTGTTGGTTTGAGAATGTCATCATTTGACCTTCATTGTTGGAAGATACAACATGAGATATCCTCTGAGTTTTTCTCGCCATATATTTATTGGTATGTTATAGGTATCCATGATGGTAGGATGATGGGATTTGTTACATATTCATACATACACACAATATAATTTGTCCATATTATTCCCCAGTATTTCTCCTATACTGTCTAGCTTTGTTGGATATAGGATTTTGTTTGACATTTTTTTTTCCTTCAGCATTCTGAATATAGCAACCCATTATCTTCCAGCCTTCAAGACCAAGTTGGCACCAAGATGCTTAAATATTCTCTAATTCTTAAAAAATATTTCCAACAGGAAATCAGATGATTGCTTCATTAGGGTTTCCTTAATTGTTTGTGGTGAATAGCTTCTCTTCCGCTTTTAAGATTTTTTCTTGGTCTTGGTCATTTGACAGTTAAATTATAATGTTCTTTGATGTGTGTCTCTTTTGAGTTTATCCTACTAGAAGTTAATTGACCTACTTACATCATTCAAATACAAAGAGCTCTCTACTAGCTATTTTGAAATACTTAATTTTCAACTGAAGTTGCCCTACAGTACTATCAAACATTAGAAATTATTCTCATATCCAACTGCAATTAAAAGCAGAACACATATTCTTTCAAGTGCTAGTGGAACATTGTTGAAATTTCTGTTTCATGTCAGTGACTGTTGTTTGATGCATCTATATTTAGGACTCTAACGTTTTCTTGGTAGATATATCCATTTATCATTATGTAATATCTCTCCCCTCTCAAAATTCACTTGACTCTGATGTCTACTTTATGTGATCTTAATACAGATACTCCTATTTTTTAAATTAATGCATGTATGGTATATGCAAATTTCATAATTTTTAATGTTTGATAACTGACAGATTCCAATCCACTTTCATTTCTCATTTTTCATTTCCCAATCTAGGAAAGCTGAAAAGAAAGCCTAGACATTTCTTTGGTGTGAGAAAGACAAACCATAGAAGCCTTACTTTGCCATGGAGGAACCCTAAAACCCTATCCATAATAAAAGCAAAGCCATTTTCCTTTCCTCATTTTCTCTTGCCATTTGTAGAGCTGCTTGGGTGTCTCCATTATTCTCCCCAGACAGTCTTATTATGTGAGTAATAGGCTTTATCATTTTATCTTGATACAAGTATAATATCATCTGCCTCATTATACAAATGAAAATGTTGTGGGACAGGAGAGGGGTATGCATCCTGCCTCTGGATGATAACAATCATCCTTTTACTTTTAACCTTGTGTTAGTGTATTGAGAATGAGTTTCTAATTGTCAGCATACAGTTGGGTTGAGCTTTTTAATTTACTCTGCCAATCTTTGCCTTTAATTGGTATATTTAGATCATTTCCATTTAAGGTAGTTATATGATAGAGCGTAACCCTGACACTTTATTACTGATATCTGTTTGTCTCCTTTTTTCTCTTTTATTGACCTCTTATGGTTTATTGGAATATTTATTTTTATTTTATTTTTATTAACATGTATTAAACACACACATGGGATTCAGTGTGATATTTTAACACGTGCATACAGCGTGTACTGGTCAAATCCAATCTCCCTTAATTTACTCTTTTTTCTCCCATACTTTCCTATGTCTAGTAATCACTATTCTGTATTTGGGTTGACTTTTTTTTAGTTCCTATATATGAGAGAGAACATGAAGTATTTGTTTTCTATATCTGACTTATTTCAATCAATACAATGTATTACAATTCCATTAATTTTGCTTCAAATGACAGAATTTCCTTTTTTTCTTTTTTTTTATTAGTCATTCAAAACATTACAAAGCTCATGATATATCATC